TTTCCCATCTACAGGGCTGGCCAGTTCTGGAAGCTTGCTAAGTATAATGCTATTGCCACACGTTGATATATTGGCGAAAGGAAGGCAAATGTAACAATGCTACAGCTTAAACTCATTTGAATAAACTGTGAATTTCTATTACATATATTGTTTCCTTTATCAAACTGGAACTACTGGAGCAAGAATACCAACATAAATCTAGATCTGTTACAGCCAGTTTCCCCACTCTATTCTCAGAAGCCTTAATGACAGAGAGTCAAAAGTTCTTCTGTTCTGGGGAGAGATTAGGGCGAGCAACGTTCTTGATAACTTTTAATATCTTAAAAATAAAGCATCAGAGTAAGAAGTGAGGTTTAACAAACTGATGGAAACAAGTCACAAAGCACTATTCTACCTTCTAAAGCAAGGGAAGGAAGACCGCAAGTGTTTTAATAAACACTGAAGAATAAAAGGCAATAAAACCTGTGCGTAGCCTACTTGGGAAATAGATCTTCATTATTCATGGCAGAGTACTTTACACTTTGTGCAGTCTTTTCCAGAATTTAAAACCCTTCCACAAAGACACATTCCAGCCTCTTTTATGATTTGCGTTCCACAGGTTCTATCCAAGATAATGGCTACCAGGCTATTCAGATCAGAAATTAATGGTGACCGACAACTTTTCTAATATATCTGGCACTAAACGGTAGGTCAGACTGGAAACACAATAAACTGGTTTTCTTATTTTGCATCTAACAGATGTTGAATCCAGATGTATCTAAGTCTAAAAGAAACAATAATAAGTTTTTGGGTTTTTTGTTTTGTTTTGTTAAAGAAAGCCTTGCTTCAGCCTGTAATCAATTTGGACACGGCGATATTCTATTTATAGTAACACTTTTAACATGTTCTAGTCTTATATTATTTATTCGGATCATTCCTATTGCAATGAAATATTAATGTCGAGAAAGTGGTTACTCTATTAAGGCGCTACCTATGTTTAGATTTTAATATTGATCTCCACTATTTAGGAATAATTAATCATTCTACGTGAATCTGTATTTGCGTGACTTTGTGTTGTAATACTGTCCGAAGTTTAGCATCTTCCCCACAAGAATGTCACGATTAAATTTATATTCTGCCTTATTCCTAAAGGCGACTTAGCTATTCTAGCAGAAGGGGGAAAAGGGGATACCGCCACTTTAAAAGCTTCAATCTCTTTGACATTGCTGGCAGTGTATGGGAACATTAATGCATCTGTCATGATAACAAGCTAAGAATAACATCTAGACATCAAACCGAGCAGAGAATCCATCTGAAGTGATTCATTCAGATCTGTCTCATTGATTTATTAAACACAGGGCAACATCTGCAGCCTCACAGAGCCGCTTGGCAAAATTAATGCAAGATCAATTCAAATGGAAAAAAGTGCAAAAGAGATAAATCAAAACACAATTTGCATGCAGTTCCACAATCAGGCTTATTGGGTGCAAATGCTCAATTTCCCTCCCAAAGCAAATGAGTTTAAATGTTGTTTTATCTTTGTAGAATTGTGTGATTTGAAGTGACAGTGAAGAGTTCTGCAGGTTGAAATGGTGAAAAGAAAAAAAGGAGAAGAAATGCTTGCAAAGACCTTTTGAATATGCAACGAGAATATCATTAATACCTAATTGTTTGGCTTTTTTGTCTTTGCTACAAAAACACAGTATTTTTCAGTTGTACAAGTCTCAGTAGAAAATTACATATGTATTATGCATATACACATGCAGGAAACATACAAATACTCCATCTTGGAGGAAAAGCATGTTACACTTCAAATGGGAAGCTCTATTGCCATGAAAAGAGAAGGGAATGTTAATCAAGGTTTCTCCAGATTAGATATGCTTCTGATGAAAACGTTCAAGTATTTTAGTACTTTTGAAGAAGCACAGACGTGCAATATGTCCAAAAAGAACTTGGGGTGTTTTTCTAGAAGTATAATTAGTTCACTCAGAGAGTGGAAAAATTCACTTCTGCCTCTCTTTACAGAATTCACTGTGCTGGTGCTAACTCTCAAGAGCATGCTTTAAGTAAATCTCCCCTCAGAGGAAGAAAAAGGAAAGAGAAATTGATCATTTCTTATTTCAATATGCCAAAATTCACTAGTTTGGCTGAGTCCAAATGCACGCTAAATATTTACTTAGTCAAAGAAGTTTATGTAATCAGATGTCCACATTTAAAAATCAATACACACACAGGAGCTCTGTGTGGTGCTACATGACTAGATTGCATTAATTATAATCTTGACATCCTTCTCCTTATAAAAGACTGAGTATTGCTGACTATTGGGTAGCTTTTAATAGACAACACAACTAGACCCTCATTATCTCATAAAATGCCTGCATTTACTGCTTAACTTCATTTCTAAAACCTTTCCTTATTTGTGAAAAGTCAAAGTAATTCAAAATATTAGCTGAACTGGACACTGTAAATCGTAACTAAAATAAGCCATGTACTAAAATGCAGTTTTCTGGGGAGTATTCTCTCTCGTGGACTGTTTTACCTACTATTTAATGAACAAACCAGACCAACATTGCCTTTTTCAGCAGAAAACAGCCGTCCAATACGGAAGCCCTGCAGAAGACGTTATGATCCTACTCATATTATTGTGATATTTAAGGACTGATGTATTTACTGTCACAGGCATGTTCTCTCCACAGTTCTATTTCATTTTTAAAATGAAACTTGATCATAGTCTTCTACTTAAGTAAGCCTAATGTTTTGCTACAAAAATTAAGCATTTGTTCCTCAATTTATGTGAACTTCCAAGATACCACAAATTAGTAACTAAATCCTGGAAGCATGTTGTATTCACCATGCACTTAAAGATGCTACTTGCAGTGCAATGAATGGTTAGTTTCATTTTACAAACCTTGCTCCCAATGTAAGTTACACAGCACTCTTTAATGAAGATCAAAGTTAGGAATATTTTGTTTATGTGTGGATGCAAATTACACACATGCTGTTTACGAAATACAAAGGTCAAAGATGGCAGACATAGGTAACTAGCGTTACAAACATGGAACATACAAAAACTTTGGCTTACACATGTTTCTCTGCATTTCTGAAGAGCTCTGTAGACAAGCTCGACTAAAAAAATAATCCAATAGACTAAGCAGAACTAAGATCTCTTTTTTCAATTACACATTAATTGATGGTTTGCATTCCAACTGAAAGACAATTAAAAGCGTACACCAATGTAAGAGATGGTGATTTTTAAAAGTCAGCTAACATACAAAATAACAATAGTCAAAGTTTCTCATTGCTTTTTCCAACAGTTTTTGAGTTTAAAACTGTGCTTCTACAGCATTCTGAATTAGACATTCATTCATATCAATTAACAGCAAAAAGAGATTACAAGAGCAATGCACAATATTCTCAGTTCAAATTAATTCTTGAGTCATGCAGTGGAACAACATGTAAGGGTTTGTTGTTGTGCTGCTTTTTTTCCTAAAAGATTACTTTTTTTTCCAATACTTTACTTCCCAGATCCAGAATCTAACTACTGCATACGCAGTCGCTAGCAGCCCCATCCCATTTTGTTAGTTAGGTACGGTACCACACGCCGCTGTGGTTCCCAGGTCAGCTCACAGCAAACGAGAATGGGATCACATGTATTAAGCTATTTTTATCCAACTTTCTGTACCATGAAATATGGGCTGTTCCAAGAAAAAAAATAATCTTTAAATAAAATGATGAGCTAAGCGTGATAGAATACAATTAACATTGTTAAGTTACAATACTTGACAAAAGTTTTGCCTGAGCTGATAACATTTATCATACATTACATCTAAAACCACGCAGGCAGTAATACATTGGTATCAGTAGGTCATTCAAATTAGGGGCATTTTCAAGAGGCATAAGCAAAGGTGAAGCGATGTTTTAATAAGTGAGAAGCACTCGAGGAAACGTAAAGGGATCTGCTGCTCCTGAACAGGTAGAAATCAATAGCGCTTTCGTAACTGGGCACGAAGAGCTTGTGCTTACATACATGTGTTGAACGTCTGTCTTGAGCAGAGCGCTCTGAATGCGATCAGACCGATTTCTGCCCCATTTGACCGATTTCTGCCCCGTCTGACCCCATGAGCAGCGCTCCCACCACATCTCCAGCCTCTGCCTAGGTGCTGGTGGCTGCTCCGCAGAGCCCTCACCGCAGCCCCCGCTCCTGCTCCCCGGCCTCACTTCTCAGCCGCTGCTTTTTCCCAGCGCGGTCAGAAGTCTTGGCCAAAGGAAAAAAAGAAAAAAAAAAAAAAGTCGTGAACCACACGCTTTAAGCAATTAGCGCTCCAGCACTTCTTCATCTCTAAACACCGGCTGTAAGGGAGCAGACAGCATCAGATCGCACCTACAGGCTGCGCGGCCAAACCGGCTCCCCTATTTCCCTGAGGAAAAACTTTGGTCAAAGAGATTTTTAGCGGAGCGCTTCGTTCCCAAAAACTCGCAGCCAGGCGGGGCTCGGACGCGTTTCGGGGCGGCTCTGGGCTGCCGGGGACCCCCCGGGGGCGCTGCCAGCGCCTGGCCCCGTCCCGGCTCCCGGCAGCGGCCGCGGTGCGGGGCACGGCGGCACCGGCACGGCACCAGGAGGCGTTACGGGCACAGGGGGGCACCCCTGAGGCGCCCCCGTTAATTAGGGCTAATTAGCGGGGCCGCTGTCCCGGCCGGGACCGCGCCGCTGCTCGGAGCCCGCTGAGGGAGCGGCCGGGATCGGGCCCGGAGCCCGGCGGCACCCGGCGGCTGGGGGGGGACCCGGGGGGCTGCGGGGGGACCCGGGGGGGACCCGGGGGCTGGGACCTGGTGTCTGGACCCTCTCAGAGCCGGAGCTGGAACCTGCGGCGGTGTCACGGGCACCGAGCGGAGAACTTTGAGGGAAAGGAGGAGAAGGGGAGGGGAGGGGAGTGAAGGGGGGGGGGGGGTGCGCCCGAGGTACCGCGAAGGGAAAAGTTTGGTGGGGGCCGGCCGCAGCCCCCCAGCCCCGCGGCGCTCACCTGGCGTTGGTGCAGTCGTTGTACAAAGTTTCGAAGTCCTTCCTGGTGATGAGCTTGCAGCGGTTGACGCCGGGCTGGATGGCGCCCAGCCCGCGCAGGATGCGGACCTGCTCCACCGTGCACACCACGGGCGATATATCCAGGCGCTTCAGCTTGGTGTACACCGTGTGCAGCCCCCCCACCAGGTGCTTCAGGAAGAGGTCGAAGACCTGCGGCAGGCAGATCAGCTCCTGCCCCTCCACCAGGAACGAGGCCACCTTCACCCCGTGCAGGTCGACCATCTTACACTCGTTGCCGCCGCCGCCCGCCCCGGCCCCGCCGCCTCCTCCTCCTCCTCCTCCTCCTCCACCACCTCCTCCGCCGCCGCCGCCGAGGAAAGAGTTGACGAGGCTGTTGGTGAGGCGCGGGGACTCCGCGGGGCTGGAGTACAGCGGGTCCGCCCGGAACAAGCCGCCCGAGCCCCCCGCGCCGCCGCTGGAAGTGGCGGCGATGACGGGCGGCGCGGACACCGCCATGGCCAGCCCGGCGCCCGCCGCAGCCCCGCGCCCCCGGCGGCACCGCTCCGCTCCGAGCCGCCCCGAGCCGCGCGCACCGCCCGCCTGCCGCGCGCCCGGACCCTCCCCAGCGCCGCCGGGGGGCGGGCGGGGCGCTTGACGGACGGCGCCCCGCAGCCAATCCACGCCGCTCGCCTCCGGCCCGGCCGCCGCGATTGGCTGTCGGCCGGCGGGGCGGGGCGGGGCCGGGCGGGGCAGCGCCGGCCGCTGCACCTGGGCCGGGGGCGCGAGGCGGGAGTCGGAGGGGGGGGGGACTGGGGCTGAGGCGGCGGCGGCGCGGGGCGGGTGCGTGAGGAGGGGACGGAGCCGCGTGAGGGGGCCGTGAGGGGCGGCCGCTGCCCCGCCAAGTCCCGGCCGCCCCTCGGTGGGCTCGGAAAGTTTGGCCGAGCCGGGAGGGGCGGCCCCGAGGGGATCCCCGTGAAAATAACCGAGCGGGGCGCGCAGCCTGACACACAGCTGGCAGCCGGGGCAGGGCGCGTTGCTGAGGTGATTTTCTCGCTGCACCTAGGTTCGACCGCGCTTCCCGCTCCTCCTTCCTATCAGCATCCTTTCCTCCTGCTCGCCTGCACGCTTTCTCACTTTTTTTTATCTTCCCTTCCCTGCTCCTTCAACTTCTCCCTCTCTTTTTTTATTCTTCGGCTTCCTCCTAAAGCATCCAGAAAGCAAAGCGAACAGAAAAGTAGAGGCGCGGCTGACAAGTGGTGCCAGCGGAGCACTGCAACTCTTCCCAGGACCACGCTGCCTGGATGTGCCATCCTCTCCCTCCTTTTGTTGTGCCTGCTGATTGAGTTTCTGCAACCCTTTGTGCAAAAACCTGATGTTTTTGCGTTATGAGTAATCCCATTTTAGGCGAAGGGAGATGCCTGTATGCTAACTAAGTTGCTATATTTGATAAGCTGAGTGATCTGCTCTCTGGAGAAACCTGGTTTTCTCTCCATCAGTGGTACGTATATTTTAGGAAGAGCCCCTGCCCGTTTTAGGCCCCTGGTCTAGCTGGCTGAGACTAAGGCAGAATTTTCACATAACCCACGGTGAAATTAAAAACTTCAAATATAATAAATACCTTTCAGTGAGAATACTCGTATTTTGTAACTTTCCAGGATCAGAACCTTAGATTGCAAGTTCTGTGAGGCAGGGGCTATCTACTTGGGCAAAAAGTTTGGTGCGATTTAGCCCTGAACTTATCTGGGATGTTTATGCACCAGAAATTATAGAAATAGCAAGTAACTGACTTAAATAGAAACTTTGGGGGGTTAATTTACAGGGCATAATTGCCATTAAGAGATTTAATAAATCAGGTTTAAGCATTTCGCGTTGGCTTTGCCCTTTTAAAGACATTTTTTACTTTTGAGATTAATGTGACAATCAAATTCCACTGTGAGAATTCTTTTTCCTTTTTGACTTTAATGTCTTCCATAAGCTAAACATATTTCTAAATAAGACAGAATTTTTGCAAGGCCAGAGGAAGCCTTGCGCATCAGCACCCAGCAAGTTGGAGTGGCGTGAAGCAATATAAAATCATAAAGGCTGTAGTAAAAACAGTACCCTTGAGAGGTGACTATCCATGGAGAGAAGAAGTGCTCTTAAACTAAGAAAATGCTCAAGGTTTGAGAATTAATACCAGGCAGCTGTCCAGTTCAGCTAAGCATATACAAATCAACTACATCAATGAATATTTTTATTTCGCTGTAATTTTATTTCAGAACAAGGCAAAGTTACTAAAGCCTAACAATCATACGGTAATATCTTGTCATTTATAAAGTATCCAGATGGTTTATTTGAATGGAGTCCAGCAGCATGCAATTTGATTGTACGTCTCCCTATAGCTTAAATAAGTATTTTAGAATATTTCTTTAAACTTCAAGTTTAAATATTTTTGCTGATTTCAGACTGGCATGCAAAATAGTTTTTTTTAACACTGTCAGCCATAGAAATATTAGCGAATTGTATATTATCTGCAAAAATTGGCCATGTACATATGGCAAAATATCGAGCAAAGGTTCTATTTGTTTGCTTTTGTTTTTATCATCATTACATATGCCCCATTGGATTGAAATGTTAAAGAGCTCTTTTTGTGACGCTACAGAAGAGAGAGAAGCCCCAGTCCTTCCAGCTAGGGCCAGTCAACAGCTTTCTGTAAATTACTTGTTGCCAGCTGGCAGAAATGGGGCTGCTGGCTCACGTGGATCCTGTAGGTGAAGAGATGGGTGATGCAACTGACTAGAAGACAATGATAAAAAATAAAGGGCAGTTTTTGAAGTAATATAATAAGGAAATAACTAAAAGTAATCATTTTGTTTCTAGAAGACTGGAAGGCTCAGTAGTAATGTTTGTCTTATATCTCAGTTTTCTGTACCCAAAGCTGAGGCAGGAAAATTTAAATAAATAAATAAAATTAAATGAATTCTGTAGATTTATTGCGTTAAGATAAATGATGACATCTCTCGTTTTCCCTCTCCTTCTCTTCCTCACTATTTCTATTTCTTCCTCTCTCTCTCCCTCCCCCCTTTTTTGTATAAAGAAGTTTTGCAGACTTGATAGACGTATGTCCAGCGCAAGGAGGTTATTGAGAAAATGTTAGTTTTTAGCAAAGATTTTGGATCTCCCTCTTGTATCTGGAGGTTTCTGAGATGTAAATGTGAATGTAGACTTAGGAGGGTCAGAGGCAACTGGGCGCCCAAAATGAAGGACAAAACAAACAAACAAAAAACAAACAAACAAAAAAAAACAGATTTATTTAAAATTCTCCCAAACCATAATGAAATTAAACACCATTTTTGAGAGTTGTGGCCTGACTGGAGCCCTAGTGATGATGATACTCTCTTAGTCCTGAACAAAAAAAAATTGCTCGGGGCCTGATCTAAGGCAGTCTTTGAGTTTCTGTCATGAACATGCAAGCGACTGATGTAGCTAATTCTGAGCACAGGTTTAAAAAGAAAGAAAAAGCTTTTTGTTTCGTTTCGCTAGATTAGTGTTTAATGCCCTTGGTTTTCAAGGGAAAGAGTAACCATGATTATATTAACAAACGTAGGCCACCAATACGAAAAAATGAAGGTATTGAAATTAGTATGTCATTCTTATTACCCACATTTTTCTAGATGTGCTGGTACTTGGCACTTGTATTCAATTTATTTCTGACATTTCAGTAGAGTTTTTTTTGGAAGTGTGGATTAAAACTTCCCACCTAAACATCAAGGATTTTAAATGAAACTGATGAGTCTAAATGTCTTAAGTATCAATAGAAAAATGATCCTTTCTCTTATATAATTAAATGTATTGTATTAATGTGTGCATAATGCAGAATCAATAAATAATGAATTACCGCTGATTGTAATTGAATGTTTTCATAATTTTATTGTCAGCCATGATAAATAATCAGTACATTTATACTGCATTAAATTAATTAGTGTGTCATTTCTATTACATACATCAGCAGTGAAGTAATGCAGTGACATCTGTTTCTAATGTTTTAAAGATGTGGTATTCCTTATTAAGTAAAAGGAAGAGTTATTAGAGGTATTTCCTGTGATTGGCAGTTATACTGGTACAATTGAAAGAGATCAAATAAAGGAACTTGCTCTCTTGGCAAATGCTGCATTTCAACCCCCTAATGGCAGAGAGCAACAGTGATTGGAGTGCATTTTGCTTCTCTGGGCTTTTACAAAGTCCTGCCCGCCTTGTTACAGAAGGTAAGAGGGGGTCTTCTCTCAGTGGTGCAGTCAGGAATAGCTCCAACATGCAAAATAATTACTGCCGTATAGAATAACTACGCATCCACATTCGTTTCTGTTGCCCGTTTTTCTGCCTCGCTCCTCTGCGTTTGCAAAGGAATGCCCTTACCAGGCACTCATTAAAGAGTAACAGCTCAAGCCTGTTTCAGCAGTGGACACTCTTACGTGGATGCATCTGGGCTTTTGAGTCTGTGTCTTCGCTTGGAAAAAACACGCATTTGGCATATCTCAGCACTTTGACACCACTCGTGCTGATGTACGTTATTTGCAAAGGAAATAGAAAACTGAGTAGTTACTGCAAAGATGAGAACTGAAAGGTAGCAGAGTAGAATATGAGGAAGGGAATAAATGCAAAGAAACATACAGAAAAAAAAAATAATTAATGACCCTAGTTATTATCAGTTGGGTAATCACCTAGAAGCAGGGTGACGTGAAGTAAAATCCACTAAGTAACAACAGTTACAGGCTGCAGAATAGGTCTGAGATTCTTAATTAACGCTGTCTTTTCCAAGATACTAACAGACATCCTTATTTTTTCTTTACCATTACATCATCTTTAAAGAGAACAGTTGGAAAGTCTAATGCTAGGGCTTATCTTGCCCTACGTTCTTCATCCATGAAACAGCTTTTAATTTTTTATACTACATCATATTTTATACTATGCACAACATAATATCTAAGGAAAATTAAAACAATTCAGAATAATTTTGATCTTTTCAGTGCAAGTCTCACTAACTGCTTTCAATGGGAAACTCAAAAGCAAAATCAGAACTCACTGACTACCTTTATACAAATTTGAGAGAGTGCTATCCAGGGCCACCACACGCATGCTGCAGTTTGTCCACGTGGGTTGCTGTGTACACACTAAACTCTAGGCTTGGTGTGACTGACAGCAAGCTAGCTCACTGGCAACGTTTATACATTTATTAGTCTGAACGCTCTAACATTAATGTTTCAGCAGTGGGTGAGTGCATCTGCAGGCTTGCTCTCTGCGCCATAGTAGGGTGTGATTTTCAGCCTGCTCTTTTGCACGGTCCTCAGTAGACACAGCCCTAGAGGTGAGCACTCCAGGTCATAGTCTGGACTACTCAACAGCTCAAGCTTCACTTGACACATGAAGGATTTGACCATTTACTATAGGAACTTGAGAAAATTAAAGCACAAAAATACTCTCTCAAACCAGATTCTATCTACTCTTCCATTAATTAAAATTTTACTTAACTTCTATAATGGAAGAGATGTGCCCATTGATGCTTGGACAGTTACTCTTTGTCTAAATGATGTGTAAATACTGTTCTCCATGAAAACAAGTAATATGTTTGTTGTATAAAAA